CTGTGATTGCCTTTCCTGAAATTTTCAAATCTTTTGTTTTCATTTTGACAAGTAATGATTTTTTTTTTCAAGAAAGAAATGACCATTTCTTGCACAGTTTTGAATTCCCTGCAGCACATCAAACACTTCTAGGTACACATTAAGGACTCAATAAATACTTAGGTCTTGAATAGCCTAAATACTAGAATTATAAGAGAATATCACATGGAGCCAGAAAGGACCCGGTCTCAGGGACATCTGTATCAGGTGTCGGTTCTCTCCGGGTACTCATGAAGGAATCAGGCACCAAATTAAGTCTTGGGAAACTGGCAGAGAAAAGAAGAAATGTGGAAGTTCCAGTTCCTTTTGTGTTTCAAGTTTCCAAATGTGAGGAAATATGCCAAATGCCTTTGGCTTTCAAATGATAATATACTTTGAATTAATGACTAAAGGGAAACGCCCATTGAGCAGTTCATGGAGAGAGTCTCTCCGGTCAGATCCTGTTGGCAAAGGACCAAAGAGCCCTTCTCTCCTGAGCCAGCCAGCAGCCACTTCTATGGCCAGGAAGCACTCTGCCATCAACGCAGTATTACGACAGTGAGCAATTCAAAGTACCATTTGCAGTTCATCAAGTAACTCCCCTGAATATCCCAAAATTTTGTCCTTGAAATACACTTGATTTGGAGTCCTGACTTGATTTTGGGGGAAACTGTTTCTTAAATCAAAGTATAAATATAAAGATAAGCCTAAGTTTTTTTTTTCTTTTTTAAAGAGAATCAAATATAAGATTTTTAAATGTTCTAGTCTATTCAGCAATATACTGGATAAACAACAATGTTCTAAGGCTAACTTTAAGACAAATGCAATGAAGTTACATGACTTCCCCTTGAAACTGTACATGCATTCTAAAATAATCTGGTTGATGAATCCACTTTATTTCAGATTTTGTGGGTTTCTAAAGTAATTAATTCTTTAATTAACATCAACATATATGATGCTTTCCTCTGATTCCAGTACATACACACAATTTGCAGCTGAAGGAAAAAACAGTTAAAAGCTTCTAATGACTTCTTTAATGCAAGTGAGTGAGAACATATTTAATATAAATTTAACAGTCACTCATTGGTTCATTCAACATTTATTGAACACCTGCTCTGTGCCAGGAACTCTGTTAGCTACTGGGGAACAGAGCAGTGAACAAGATAAATACAGCTTCTACTCTATGTTATGTTACAATCTAATTGGAAATCTTGCCATTAAACAACTACAGAAAGAAATAAGTCAACAATTGAGATAAGTGTGGTACAACCAAATAAAGGGTGCTCACATCTTTTGGTTTACTTATAAACCTATGGTTTCCTGCAGAAGTAGCTTTGATGATCTAAATTTTGATTTGACCTCTAAACGATAATTGAATTTAAATGAAATAGAAATACAACGAAATAGAAAGTCTACTCTAGACCCACTAAATTGTTACTTCTGAATGTATCTGTTGAATATAAAAATGACACAATTTTTTTTTTAAAGAAAAAAGAAAACGTTAGTGATGCTAGAAATACTTTTAACCAATGCAGTTTCCAGGGGGAATTCATGACCATGTCAGGTTAATGGTCACTGGCTTCATGTTCAGCCCTCAATTAAACTCTGAACTTCAATTGCTATTACTTAATTGACTTGGTTATATTTCATGTCAGTATTTCAAAATGACCTTCCTCTTAAAAAATAAAAATCACCCTGACATCGTACCTTGGGTCGTTGCTGAGCCTGACATTGCTGCAGCAGTCCCACGCTATCTTTATATATGGTTGAGCCCACAACTTGCTTAGCTTTGCAATCACTAGGTATTCCCCATCATTCTCGCTTATGATATGAGACAGCTCCAGATAAATTCAAGTGATGAGGGAAAAAGAAGGAAAAACTAAATACATCTGTTGCCACGATGATTATTAAAATGCCACATAAATCCACTGATACCCATTTTATTCTAAGCACAGGGAATTAGTCTCCAATACCTTGAGTATAGGGGATTAAATACTGTCAAATTATACTTATTTTAAAATGATACTACAGCATCTTTTTTCTTCCATTACAAGTGACTCCAAATATTTAGTTGTTCCAATTAACTAGATGGAAACATAAATCCCCTTTCCTTAGACATGAAACAACAATAAGAACAAGTTAGATTTAATGAGTCGGATTTTATATAAAGTAGGTATGACGCCAAGATAGAACTTTGCTATAGTGACTGAAACAAATTAAGGCCTCAAATGAGCATGTCCCCTCCCCCATGGACTGTGGAAAAGTTTTAAAAGTCTTTTTGAAGTGCTTTGATCGAGCTTTGAAATCATTTCAGTGGATTACTATTGTATGAAAACTGTAATTTATAGTGCTTGACCTAAGCCACTCTTTGTCTCACAGCCATATTCAAAACAATAGCAGGAAAGTGAAAAACACAAGAGGAACCCAAACTGTTCTGGTTATTATTTAATTCATAATTCCATCTTCCTTATTTAATCTTTGGAATCCAGGCACGTTATTAATAAAACAGGTTCAGACCACGTCTACTATATGTAGGGAGGTGTGTTGTGGGTGATACAATTAGATGATCCAGACCGTTGCCGGCGACCCTTTCTAGCAGCGACTTGACAGGCAGGTTCAGAGAGGCGCTTCTCTAAATGGTGACACTGCAGGCAAACTCCCGTTGTTTACCTTTTTGGTTTCCTCTCTAGTTAAGCTCGCTTTGTTCCTCAACCCTAATGGATAATGTGCCAATTAGGAGATTTTTCTCCTCCCATCCTTGTCACAAAACAGTTATGCTGTGAGGCAACTTGTTCCCATCAGATCACATGAAAAATGGCAAGCTGCCCCCAAGATGAACCAGCTTGAAGTGCGACTCTTAACTAAATCCTACGGGCATTTTACTATATGAATGTGTAGTTCTAATCAGCTGAACACCACTGCTCAGGCTGGAAGTAGCTGTAAACCTCACATGTTCCTGTGGCTCCTTTTGCCAATACATTTACTGACGGCCTAACACAACTACCATATTTGCCCCTGTAAAATCTTGTTATCTTAGTTAAACGTTTTGTGATCTTTCAGGCGCACAGATGCCCTTGGATATTCTGACATGTGGAAGATACTTAGGTATGTTTTTCCCCAAACCGATTACGTCAATTGCTCCCCCCCACCCCCAACCTCCACTCTGTCAATTGCTACCCCCCTACCAACTTCCACTCTGAAGACAGATAAATCAGGACTTAGATGGGATGAATTTTGGTCCTGGGATCATTTTCTAGAAAGAAGAAAAGAGCCAAGGAGGAGACAAAGCATAGAATACACGTCCATGTGGGAGGAAAGTGGCAAAGGCTAGTGAAGGGGCAGATATCTGGCTGAGAAGAGGTGGGAAGGGAAGGGACCGAAGCAGTCAAGATTCGATGCCCTCGAAACACCAGGTCTGGAGCAGCGAGCAGGTGAAAAGAGCAGACATCTAAGGTATCTTGGTTCCAGAAAGGAAGGGAAACAATGGGTGTAGCTTCTCCGTGAGAAACAAGTGAATTAACTGTTCACTTGGGCGCTGCGCATTAATTACTGTGACCCACTGGGGATCATTTAGTGGATTACCTCATCCAGGGCTCCAGGCACATCCCCTGGCGGCTTCCATGAGTTAATGCATACCCCAAAGAGCAACAATTCATCATCCTTTCCAGGGTGGAATCAAGCCTTGCTGATCATGAGCCAGGGACACACACCTACGGTTAAAATGACTTCCCCCAGAGATCCTGCTTTCCAGCTTGGACCCCTGAACCTTCCCTTTTATATGCGATTTCAGGAGTCTTTAGAAGACTTGACATATACCTCAATAGAAGTC